GTACATAGACCAGAGCTTGCGAATATCATACACCTGTGTTAACCACTCCTATCGGTAACATGATAATTCAACTGGGCGGGTGTAAACTTCGAAGAAAAGTAAGCCACCGGCCACAACTTGCCATCTCAGAGGACATGCGTAACGCCCCCCACCCCTATGTGCTCACACGCATCTGCGTACTGGTACAACGGTTCTCTGGCCTTGGTTGGACCAGAGTCGCACACTTCCTAAGCCGCTCATTGATGAGCCGAAATGCCGCTTCCTGCTGCGGCCCTCATTCGAACTTCGCACTGTCCTTCATAAGCTTCGAGATAGGCGCCAGTATCTGTGCGAACCCATCAATATAGTTCTTCCAGAACGCGGTCGTGTGGTACCATGATCGCACGCGGTCTTGGTTTTCAGGGCGGTCTACCTAAAGCAACGGCGGCAGGCGGTCCGCCGGAATCGTGACCCCTTCGAGGCCAACCCGTCGCCCAAAGAGCTTAACTGGGCGCTAATAGTATGTCACCCAGGCCTTCCTCAACCCAAATTGCACATCATGTGGTCCAAGAACACATCAAAGCGCTGGCAGTGCGGTCCGCTGTATCCGAGGCTATGACAATATCGTCGATGTACCACATGACGCCCTGCAATGTGTCGAATATTTGGCTGAGGACCTCTTGGAACCGCCAAGAAGCTTCCCAAAAGGGCGCGAGATATATCGGTAACGACCCCAAGGAGTCATAACGTCAGTATATCCCTACTGCCCTCCTTCAATTCCTACTGGGCAAACCCGTTACCGCAGTCCAATACCGTGGCCCAGGGGTTGCCAGCGGTATATCGAAACATATCCTGCTCCGAGGGTGTCCCAAAAGACTCCTGCTCCTTCTCCCGCCACTTCGCGAAGTTGGTGCAGAACCGCCAATCCTCCTAACACGTAGGCTCCTTGCAGGGATCCTTACGCGCCATCACCGTCTTAGAAAGCCACAGGACACTACTGTTAGTCTGCTTCTCAATAATGCCACCCTGGGCGACCTTCTCATTCAGCTTCTCCTTCTGTGCGGCTTAGGATACAACTTGAGCTTCTCAACCTTCATGAAATGATGGGCTGCTTTGTTATAGGCATGCCCTTCTATGCGCACCTTCATGCGCGCTAGCTCCTCCGGTCTCTTGCCTAACTCCTGCGCAAGCTGCCGCAAACCAAACCTGTCAAACTCAATTCCAGCGCAGGCTAATCCAACTCACGGAGCGCTTCCGTTGGAAGATCGCTTGGGTTCACGAGGTCCGGTATCTTAGGGGAGTACAGTCCATGTACCTCCCCCATCCCAGGGATAGCCCGTCCCAGACCTGTATCCGGGGCACTGTCACGCCGACGCTTCGTCGGTTGACGCCCCTGCCGCTGACCCATGGACTCGCTACCATTAGCTCTGGGGCGGTTGCTTTCGCATCCCGCTCTCGATCTCAGGCAGCTCTTGTCGCATGCCGTCATGAACCACCAATCTGACATCGGTTTCAATCCCTGCCCTTAAAGGGCTAGGGGTCCTCAAACGCAGCACAGGCCCCGTCCGACCTGACTGCCCAACCTCATCACCCTCCACCCGTTCAGGACTCGGGGAACGCTTGGTGTCTCTTGCACCATATCTTCTGAACTGTCGCTCACCTCCGAATCTGTTTCGACTCCCTCACTTTCACTCCACACGTACTCCTTGACGAGTTGCCGCATCGCAACCGCCGCACCCACCAACTTACGCTCGAGCCTCCTACGCTTTGCACCACTTGATCTTAACTTCTTCTTTGGCCTTACTGGGAAGGCAGTCCTGTCCAGGCCCAATATCGCCTTTACCCGCCACGGCACACGGACTTTCGTGGCCTTGAGCCACTGCCACCTGATGAGCAACTGCGGGACCACGATCATGCTGATATTTGCACACATCAGTACCCACTCAGAGTGGCGCAACTGATCAAACCCTATAAGTACATCACACCCCATGGGTATCTGCATACCACATGGAATGGCTGCCCTTCCATCAGGGCAAAGCTGTCCTTGCTTACCAACAAATAAGCTTCCAGGTGCTCATACCCTACCACATGCGAAGGATTCAAATCGCTCATGTTATCCAACCCACTAAACGGTGACCTGTCATACGGCTCATCCGGCTCAATGCCAATTCGCTGCGATGCAACCCTTGTAATAAGGTTATACGTGCAACCCGAATCAGCATAAGTCCACGCCCGATCCGCTGCCAACAGCATCGAGACCATCGCACCCCTTCAATTCGGATGATATCCTACCTAGCCGCCTCACCAGCTGCCGGGCCACCTGAAACACGTATTGTCGGGCACTCCTCCGGCACATGCCCTGATTTCTGGCATAAGTAACACCACGGAGGGTGCACGCACCCTTGGCCCCTACCATTGTCATCATCCCGACCCCAACGCGAGCGCAACCGCTCACGCGACTGCTCCCTGGAATACCGACCCTAGCTATCATCGGCTGAGTCCCGCCTATCCCTGGAAGGCCCACCACTGTCTCGACGGCCACCCCCTTTATCCGAGTGATACCCACGGTTCCTCTCATAGGGGTGCCGCTCGGGCTGATGCTCATCACCACGTTCCGTGTGCTCACGGTATGGAACCACCACCGCCTCAGACTGCAAGTCACGCAAGGGCGGTCTATCACTCCCCACCGTGCGGGGAAGGCGGACACTGCACACCCCCACCGCGAGGCCTTCACTCTCGACCTTCTTGGATCGTGTACACGTACGCTCTATGCATGGTACCTGTTCAGTACTTGAACCCGTCGGGGTGCTTGTGCCTCATGGGCAGGCCTGTGTCAAACGGAGACCTGATCAGATTTCCCCCATCAGCCTTCGGCTGCTGCTGCTGCTGATAGGGAACGCCTCCTGCACCCTGCGCATCCGAGCCCGGGTACGTCAGAATAAAAACATTGCACTGGACATAAGTGTTGCGGAGCCAAATCAAGAACTCCGACAATCCGTGCTTCTCCACCATCCTTGTCATAGTATATGTAAACGTCGTTGGTAATCTATTTTTTTCGGATCTAGCTGGAAGGGGGACTATCTAGATCGTTTCATATCTTAATGAGATAGTTATCTCATTGTAAAACTCGCTTTTCGTGGCTCGTTAGCTACTATCTATATTACTATCTCTAGAAAACGAAATCAATATTTAAGAATGTGGTTTTAAATCGAGAAATAATGTTGAGAATGAGCCATATCGTTAGCTAAAATTGTCATATATAATCATTAATTAATTTTATGTTTGTCCACGAAACGTACGTCCAGGCGAATGGCGTTGCTTATATGTGAACACAACACTTTAGCTAGGTATAGCAAGATTTATTTGTAGATTTTTAGAATATTTTTACAGAAGGTTTTTGTTTATATAATAAACCAGTTTATATTTATGGAAGTTTTTCCATAAGATAATCTAATATATATTTATACAAGTTTTTCTATAAAATAACTTAGTTTTATAAATACATCCTTATTTCTGTAGAAAAAAATAAAATAAAATAAAATAAAAAATGTCGTTTTTAAATATAGGACCATGTAAAAATAGCGGGTTCCTAATAGGGATAATATTATTTATTTCAAAAATGACAAGTATGTATGTTACAATGTATGAACATATGGTATGGCTCTCATAGTCGCTGTAGTGGTTCAGGAAAGATTGATAGGAAGAAACGGTCAGTAAATTCCCGTTTGAAGCTTGGGCCAAGTGAGTCGACAATGGAAGATATGCGCTGAGTCAATTCGGGCCGGTGTTGACAAAACACTGTTACTATCGAATGTTTCATATATTCGCTTGCTGGCCTACTAAGTAGAGTACCCACCTCTGTGGTACGGATCGGGTCTGCGCCGTGTAGTGCCGCGGAATGGGTTAGTGCAGAGTGCGAAATACCGAGAAGGGCCAGGTTATCCGTCATAATCCGGTCGAGGAGCGAGGATGGGGGTAAGCCAATGCCGCACCAGACCACGGATGAATTCGGTATGTGTTGGCTGGCCTGGATCGGAAGTATCATAGTCGGAACCAACAAGCGCGATGATTTGGTTTGAACCGAAATTTGGAAGTAGTCCTTCAACAGCGTGATTGGCCGGGGTATGGGAAACATCTGTTGATGTGTCAGGGACGGGTGAGGGTACGGTGGTTCTTCAACATGCTGGAGAAAAGATCCAAGGTGTTCGTGGAGGGTCCAGATACCGTGGAAGTCGTGGCACTCCTGTAATTGCTGAAGGAGGTCAGGGCCAATGGGCGGAAGTTTCGGGCCTACCATGATGCATCGAATCAGTTGTTGGATGCAGGTAAAGTGGCTGGTAGTGAACTTGTGGCTACCGGGGCAGACAGGGCAGAGACAGCCGTCGGTACGGTAGTCGAGCAATGTGAACATGTACGTATTCGTTACAATCATAGCACAGAGCCGGATTGGTGTAGACTTGAAGCAGCGATTAAAGCTAAAGTTGGCGGTTTACCCATAACCAGTTGGTGGTAGTATTGGCGCCGGGCCATTGCCGCGATCTTCTTGTTGGACCAACGTTTTGTTGAGTTCTTCCTGATGTCATCACAGCGTTGGCGGAGGGCTACATGGTCGGGTGTACGCCCGCCCGTGGTTTTGTGTACAGTTTTCAGGTGAGCATAGATACTGTACGGGAAGCACAGTGATGGTTTATCGTGGGCCCAGGCGGGTTGCGTCAGAGGGGTAAGTGGATTTGTTCTGGCCATTGAGTCGAGTTGTATTCCCAGGCGACCTCCGAGGTAGTCCGCGAATGGTCGCACGGGGAGCAGGCCGCAAAAGTGAAGTAAGTTTGTTTGATGTTTGGGAAACCGAAAGTATTTAGTGCCCGTGATGATGGCTGCTGCTTGGATGAGTGCTGAGTTAAAGCGCTCGAATAGGGGGTCCAACGCATCCTTTCATATAGGTGGAGCCCAGGCAATAATGTTCAGCCCATATGTAGCCATGGATAGGATGATTGTTTTGAACATCACCAGTTGGTTGCGGGGGTGTCGCCAGCTAAAGCCATGGAAGCCATAAGCGCGGAAAGAGGCGATACCCAGTGACAATGCTGCAACCAGGGATTCCAGAAATTGTGCTAGCGTGACAGGTAAGGAATCCATGTAGATAATAAAGAGCTGGGGACCGACGATTGAGCCTTGTAGGATGCCATTCGTTCTATGGAATAAAGACGAGAGCGTGCAGCGGTATATCACTCGGGTAGGGACCCTCCCAAACAGCGCGCGGAGGCAGTTGATCTAGTTTTTGGGCATTCCAACGTGACGCAGAAGTACCCATAGGCGTGGGAGAGCGACCTTGTCGTATGCCTTGGTTATGTCCAGACAGACGTCGTTCCACTCCTCTTCTGACTGTGTCTCAGATTCCATGGCAGCAAGTGCTTGGGTATGACAGAAGTACCGTGATTTGAAGCCAGCTTGGGTAGCATGGGTAGCAGAGCCGGGGTGGCTCGTAATCAGATTAAGAAAGCACTTTTCAAAGATGCATCTGACTATTTGCGTAAGCGTGATGGGGCGGAAGTCGGCGGGGGAGGTGATATCTGCATCGGCTTTCTTTGGGTGCGCTGTCAGGAGGCTGCAGTTCAGGGCTGCGGGGAAGGTACCTGCCTTCAGTAGCTCAGTGAATGCTTCGGCAAGGAGTCTAATCAGTGGGTTATTGGCGTCGGGGCGTCCTAATGTCCGGCGTTCAGTAGAGCGCTCCACTGCGGCCTTCAGGAGGAGGATGTGGATCCCGTCGGGGCCAGGTCCCTTATTGGGATAGCGTAGTATTGCCTCCATTACATCGTCGGGGCGTATGGTGGAAGTGACATCAGGAGAGGGTTCAGTATCCGGTGGAACCACGTACGGGTTTGTAGAGTTGAATAGGGCCTCAAAGTAGCCAGCGAGGGTAGCGCCTGTGTCATCGGTACCCGGTATGCAGGGTTGGCGCGGAGACCGTCGTTGGTACGCAATATCTTTGAACATTTGAGCATTGCTTTGGGCGGTCAGACGTGGGCGGAACGAGTGGTTTGGCAGCCGCTGAACCCAAGGTCTGTTTAAGCCATTATAGAACCCTCCAAATATTTGTGGGTTAGTGGCATAGCGCCAGATGCGGTCGAGGATCCGTAGCAGCCCTTCCACTGGTCCATGTAAAGTGAGATACGACCGTAGTAGGTTCTGATGCGCCCGGATTTCGGCTTGGAATAGTCGCGCGCGGGATTTGTTGCGTAGGTGATACAGTCGATGGTGACCTAATAGTAGATACACAGTCAACGTATATTATAAACGTATAACCGTATTAAACGGTTATACTTATAATACTGGAATACGTTCAACGAATTGGACATGAACAAGAACTGAGAAATTCAAGATTCTGAACATGTGACAGTACTCAGTAGAGTATGAGACTCTACTGTGGACAATTAGGTGATTTCCCAAATAAAGATTGGTTTTTCCACTGAAATTAGAATTGTACATAATATAGGAACGACACCAATGTGACACCAGAAAATGACACTTTGGGAATCTCTAATTAATGGGAGTACCATGAGAGAGGGTCTCAAGCATAAAATGGTTGTTGGTAAAAACCTATAGTATAATTCGATAATGATCTCAGAGCAAGACAATCCACTGAGAAAAGGACAGGATCAGGGTTGTTAGAATTTAAGACAACATGGTTTTGATTCCTCCTAGCCAGCCAACTAGATGTGCCCGTCTACGCCTTAAATGAGATGGGGAGCTAGGTACCAAGTGATGGGGTTTAGATGCAGATGTATACTGCACCAGCTTGGTGTTTTGATTCTTTTTCTTTTCTTTTTCTTAAGTTGGACTTAGAGGTGTTTTATTGGTTAGTTTGATTAAGTGATTGTTTCGAGGCGTGAAATGTAAACTAAGCGTCCAATGAAACGATATCTAGTCTTAGTGACTAAAACAAAAATAAATCTAGACCGAAGTAGTGAGTGATCAGAGCGGAGCATATAGACAATAGTCTCAGTCTAAAATCCCCTAATCTTTTGCTCATTACCAAGGGCTGAAGCTAAACTTATTTAACATTTTGCATTTTTGCATATTAACGTATTGTCTTATTAACGTAAACGTATTGGTATCGTATAGTCAGCCTAGAGGAGATCGACTTTTACATATTTTTAAGTTTACAATACGCTATCGATATTATGGCGAAAGGGAAAAATAAGGCAGCGAATCTAGCTAAGCCTGCAAACGCGAAAGAGTTTACTGTAGGCGAAGAAAAACAGAAAATACCCCCGGCACCATCAGCAGCAGAAGCAACTGAGATCACGCCGACACATCCGGCACCAACTCTAACTAAACGGAAACGTAAGAAGTTGGTTGACTCGGGTGTAGGTGCATCCGGAGGTAACGTGACAACTGAGCCACAGAAGCCACCGGCAAAGAAGGCGAAGTCTCGAAAGGGAAAAGCCGAGAAAACGTAATCCTCGGAAAATTCAACTTCAGAGGAAGTGCGACATGCACTGGAATCAGATGTATCATCCCCACCAGTGGACATGCGCACAGCACGTAGGCAAGACCCTACTTATCATATGATAGCAAGGGATATGAGAAACTTCCTGAAGAACTACCAACCAATGGTACATGAACTGAGACCCACTAAGCAGCGGAAGAAAAAACAAGCCGCAGCGAAGGATCGAGGTCATGGTGAATCAGGAGAGGATGACTCGGAGGATGTGCCAATAGCACAAACACTGTTGGATCAGCCCCAATTCAACGTAACGGAGGAACAACTGCGTTTCGCGGATCTAGGTCCAAATGATGTGGACCATACACTTCACCGTCTGGACGACGATTCGGACACCAGGCTGGATTCACAATTTCTGCGTTTACCCAGAATACCACTCCGACAGGCTTGGTGACAGAACTTTGATCTGGGCCATCCATACCAGACTCAGATTGATATCCAGGCGGAGAGTCAACGAGAGTTGATCCGACAGCGAGTCAACCGGGCATGGGTGTAAGATTCGGTCTCT